GGGTTTGTATTTCCAAACTTTTTTCCATCATTCAGTCTTAACAATTTTGAACATTTGACTCAAATCACCTTTCATTATTTTAAACTCCAGGGAAAACAAGTCTTAAAAACTTCAAACTTCTCGTTTTAGCTGAAAGTACTAAAATCATGTGCTTTGAACTCATGTTTTGATAGTTTTTCTGTAGTAGGTTAACCAAAGTTGCATGCAGTGCTCTGAATAAGATCTTACCAAGGTCTTGTACAAGGTTGCAATAATCTTTATGTTTCTAAATTTGAAATTCCTGTAGTTATAACTGAGAACTTTGCTTTCTTGACCATGACAAAACATTCATTTGAAGAGCTTTGAATTTAAAGAATGACCAACCGGTGCTTCTGTCACACAGGGATTTGGTTTTTTTTAAATTGTGACATTGTATGTGCATTCACTTCTCAATACAAATATTTTTTTAACCTCATTTTCTACAGCCTGGCTTAATTTTAAATATAGGACTAGGTTAAAGAAGAACATTCTGCCCTTCAAGATCACCCTATAAAACCAGCCCAATTTAAATACAATTCTTCACATTCATAAATAAGAAATTAACCAGATATGGGTGCTCATGTGCAAGTGGTATGTCATTCAAATTACAGTGAATCCCCGAATTTTACGCACCCCAATTTAATGCAAATTCGGATATAACGTGATGGGTCATTAACTCTTTCGACACAGGCTCGGTCCCTGGGACTGACCTCGTAACCATAACCATTAACATTAAGTAAAACCCGTTACCTTCCCAGTTTTTTTTTGTTTTTTTTTTAGGAGTTGGAAGGTAACTGGAACACAGTACCTCAAATGAAGCCTTATCAAAGTTTGTACAATATGACTTCTTTTATTATGGTGTCCACTGCTTTTAAGCTTTGTGAAGAACAAAGATCCCAAAACAGATCCCCCACAGGACCTCTAACTAAGAACATTCTTCTTCTGAAAAAAAAAAAAGAAATGTGTGTTTATCACTGTTTTTTACCAATTTTCCATCTACATCTTAAATTTGTACTTAATGAAGAACTTCACCTAAAGACTCTCTGGAAATTAAAACACAACAACCATGACACCTTAGTCCAGAAAAGCAGAAGCCTTGTACAAAAAAATTGAAAGTTGATAAGGGAAAAATCCCTCTTTATGTACTATTAAATACAAAAATCTGTATTAGATTTTGCTTTCCCATTTCCTTAGATTAAGTGCATTAAGTGTAAAAAAGAGCAAGGTGAACAGCTGATCTTTCAGCCCAATGAAGTCATTTTTCATCTACAAAGAAGCAACAAATATATCAAAATCAAATTTAGATTTTCCCATCCATGAACTTAAGCAACAGCTATGAAATAATTCAAAATAAATGTGTATGTTACATAATCAGCCAAATGATTCAAAAATCTTATAACTAGGAAAACAAATACTTTTCTTGAAAAATAAATTTGCATCTAGGCTTTCAAATATTCTTGCTTTAGCTTCTCCTTTTCAAGTTTGTGTTTTAGTCATTCCATGACTTGATCAAACCAATTTTGGGAAGATTGCTGTAAACCAAAAATTTTAAAACTTAAAAAGAATAACATCACCTCTAAGTTTATTTATGCCCAAAAAATATATATTTTGATTCTCTTTTCACAGCTTACAATATTTAACTATCTTGCCACATGTTGATATCCTTCAGTAGTAAAGGGGCAAACATCACACACAGTATTCTAGATAAGGTCCTAAAGACCAGGAAAATGTTAAGTGAAATATTTAATCAAATAAGCCAATTTTAAGGCTGTGAGACAAGATTTATCATTAGTGAGATGGGATAATGCGTCAACAGGTGAAGTGGGGCAGTTTTTGAGAATTTGTTTAAAAAATTACTTTTAAGATTGGTATGTTCCTAAAAAGATGAAAAGAATAACAGAGAAGATCAAACTCAATTGTTTTAATAAAGATGTAAAGGGAAAAACTGGAAATAAATGTCCTAAGCTTAATAAAGTTAAATTAACAGATAGTTTGGAAGATTAAAATAATTATAAGAAAGCTAGGGTTGTGGTTAAAGAAAGTTAAAAAAAAACTTATGAGAAACATCTGGCTGTTAATGTTAAAAGGTTTTTTTTTTTCTTAAGTTTGCTTAAGGTAAGCCAGTTGTAAAAAATGGAGGTTCGATTCTTAAAGGATGCTGATGACAAGGTTTTTGTTGAAGATTATGAGATGGCTAACATACATACACTTGGTAATGTATTGCTTGTGCAATTTATGGACCTATAGCAGATGTGACTGAGACAGCCTCTTTAACGAGTTTTATATTTTCAAGGTAATGTAGAAAACTAAAAGGTCACACAAAAAACACAATTCCAGCACCAGCGGTTGCAGTAATGATCATGGACTTTCATGTTGGTGTCAGCCATTGCCAAATGACCAATTTCACTATTTCTGTAATATTTGTTAAAAGACAGTAGAATGTTATAATGGGGGGAAACAACAACAAGTTTTAAACATGCACAGGAAATTTAACACACAGAACTGGCTAAGGTGAAGTCTACTTCTATTCAGCAAAAACTGTCCTACAAATCAGATTAAGTGTGTATGCTTCAGTGCATTTCTTAATGTTTTAATAGCAATGACAAAGTAAGTAATTGTATAAAAACATGCCAGTAAGTCCCATACAAAAGCTAAATTATCCCTAATAATGGCTATAAGTTTTTTTTTTAAACTTTGCCTTAATAAAGTCTACTTTTCCTGATGGACCTGTTGGAAGGTCTGAGAAAGCCAACATAAATTCACTATGTTGAAATAGAATTAACCTCCCTAGAGAAAATTTTCAAAAATCAATGGACACTCTTTCAGTTTTATATCAACCACCAACAAGACCAAGTCCTACACACATTGGTCATTTCTTTACCATACATTTTCAAGTTAAGCAAAAAACATAAAATAATTTTTTGGAAATTTAATGTGAAAGTTCATTTTAAAGCAAGAAAATGTCTACGAAACATCCCTAATGAAACAACCAACCAACAAGCCTAAACAGAACAAACTTGTCTACAAAGTACCATGCTTGTGCAGCAACATTTACATTGGGTAATAAGGTTGGATGATATAACAAAGATTAAAGGAACATAAAAATATGACTAGACTAACACATCCAAATAAATCAACCTTGGCTGAACATAACTGTTAAACAAGACATATCATAGACTGGGATCAACATAGAATTTTAGACCAAGCCATCTACATCAAACTGTACCAATCTGAACTTAGCAGAAATAATGGTTTGCACATCAGCAACTCATGGACAACCACCCTTAACAAACTACAGATAATATCATAGTCCTATTAACAACAACAACAAATTCTTACACTTGCTTCACCCAAGAAGATTTAGCCATATCACTTTATAAGACGCTACACAAGTTCCTACAGTGACTTGAAGAAGGCTTCAGCATAGAAACCAAAATGTCATCTCCTTTTCTCTCAACAGGCATTTGCAGTCTGTTAAAAGTTCTCAAACCTACTGTGTTGGCTCTGACTAGAGTTCTACTGGGCCAAACCCTGACTACTGAATGAAGAAGTCCACTGGTAACAAAGTACCAATTTGACTGGACTTCATAAATAACCTTTTGCTTTCTCCTATATAACCATCCTACAATCCAATTAACTACTCCTTTTTCCAACCTGTGATTTTTTTTAGTTAACCTACTGTATAGATTTTATAAAATGTTTTTAAAAACTTTAATACACCAAGCTCACTGTTTCCTTTGTCCAGTTAAAGTAACATCCTTGAGAAAAGATAACAAGGTTAGTAAGGTAAAATTTCCCTTTGTTTTTTGTCTTTTCTTATTTGCATTTGTGGTTTTGATAGGGGCATAATTAGTAAAATTTGCTGCTGGTGTTAAACTCTTGAGTACTTTTAGCTGTGTTGAGGATGTTGGAGTACTGCAGAGAGATTTTGATTTAAAGTTTGCTTTCTGATCTTTAAGTAGTCATAAGAAAAAGCATGTTTAAAAAATTTGCCAATTCTGTAACTTTTTCCTAAAGTGCCATTACATGTGAAACTGTGCTAACTGACTCAAAGAACCACACAAAAACCATTTTATGAGTTTTTTGTTGTTGTTTTATAAGTTTCACTTGGCTTTTCTCTTATGCTCTGTAAAGAGCAAAGTTATTGAATTAAATTTTGAAGCATTGTTACATATTATGAGATATTTTGTTCCTTTTTTTTTAATTTAAAAATTTACATTTATCAGATTCATATAGGGGGTCAGTGGGTTGACAGAATAGTTATTACCACAAAATCTTGCATTTTAAAGCTTCATAAACTAAAGTAAAATTATCAAAATAATTTATTATTGTAGGTTTTACTGATAAAATGTACATAGCCTAAGAATAAATGTTTGAAGATTGATTTTTAGAAAACATGAAAGTTTTTGAAACATTAAATGCTATAATATAAAGTGGACTAAGAAAATAATGGTTTATAAAGAGATATATTTGCTGTAATTTCTAAAAAAAAATGTGAAATAGTTACAATTATGTATTATCAAAAGAGCAAATATCATGAGAAAGATGAACTTTAATAGATGTCATTGTTTTACAAATACACAAGCATGTTTCACGAGAAGGAAATAGTTTCACAATTTACTTTGAATGTGTATAGATATTTAATTCATATTATTATTATTATTGGGTGCTTGACAAACCACAGATTCACAAAATTTGGAACACTTAGACTAAATAGCAAAGAAAATTTTTATCTGATACTATGTGAAGAAATTACAGTAGATCTACATCAAGTTCCTTGATAGTGGTTATAAGATACAGAATTTCAACAACTTTTGTAGTTGCTCATACTAAATCATTTAGGTCAAAAATGACTATTTTTTTTCTTTGTATATTTATATACTACTAGCTGTGTATTTCTTAGCAACTTAAATGTTTTTTATATTTGGTTATGTAATGTAATAAAATGTTATTTTGATAGAAAATTGTTTTTATGCTTTTAGGTAAACAAGTAGTGGTGAATTTGCTGAAAGGACAGCCATAGGCTTATAGTGTATTTTGACATATATATAGTTGACTGAACTGAAATCATATGGAAGGTATGGATGCTGGCTAGACAGAATTTGAGGATTTTGAGACATCCAGAACTGGGTTATTTATTTGATAGTCTGTGATAATTATCTAAATTAGTATGTTACTGTTTCAACCAATCTAATGTTGCCAGCCATGAGAGACAGTGAAGCTGCAAATGAAGATAAGGATGGGGATGAAAATAGTATTAATGGAAAGGGTCAAACTGTAGAGTTTTCCCAGGCTTGTGCAAATCCTACTTTCACAAAGTGGTTGCTGGAAGCTATACATAAAGTGAAAACCCAGAAGCAGCGTCCATCAGCTCAGCGTATTTGTAGTGCTGTACGACAGAACCATAAAGTTAGTGAAGAATCAGTCATAGAACAGCTGGAATTGGCCGTGTCTGAGGGAGCTGTGTTACAGGTAAGCACGTACATACTTACATTTAGTTAATGCAAATAATGCTCTTTGTATACAAGTGATACTTAGCTGTTTGCATTTATTATACAATAAAATTTAAAGATTGTATATCCATACAATTATTAAATCAGCTTGTATTTGTCTAATTGTAGCATTTTCACATCACAAAAATACAGAATCATCTGTGTTTTACAGGAGTCAAATTTCTTTGATGTAATTGTTACTCAACTATAGATTTGTCTCCCTTTCAAGCTCTTCTTGTACTGTTGTTCCCCTTATTCTTTCAGAATTAAATAATCTGAAAGTGAAGTGAACTTGCGTATCTGTTGCTACCAATACTTTGCTAACTTTATGCAAATATTAAGACAGGTTGAGCTATATATTAAAATGATTTTTGAGCCTCACCACTCATTACAGTATGTGTTGCCATGTCCAGTTACATCTCGACAATATAGCATAGTATTGTAAAAGAAATTGAATTATGATAGAAACATGTAATTACAAAAGTATGAAGCTCAGTGTGTGTGTGTAAAAGTAAAGATATTGTAAAGAATTCTGATGTCTAACCATCATGTGTTTGACAAGTAGGCTCTTGGTTGCTGATACAGTTGGCATTGAACACTTCCATGAACCTTATGTAATTCTACAATGTACAGCAGGCCTTGACAAATCCTAAAAATTTCAACGTGGTGCCTAGTATTTTCTTTCATTTTATTCTTGTATAGAACTGTGCTAAATAGAACTCAAATCTAAAACGGTTCTGGACTCTTGGAAGTCTGGAACTATTTTCACGTTCTTTGAGTCCTAAACCAAACTTTGTTTCTAGGATTTTAATGGTAGATTCAGCACTTCTTGTTTTTTGGGAATGAAGTGCTGCAGTTGCACAACACATTATTAATTTCACACCATTACGTTTTTCTTCTTTCTTTCAATTCAACCAATCAGTGCGTGTGTTTATTAGACTCAGTGGGGCCAAAGGCAGTTAGTTCAGGCAATACTATCAAGTGGTTTTTGATATCATGTGGTCATTAGCATGCACTCATTGCTGTGAAAGTAAATAAATATAAATAGCCCCCATTTCCCAGTGTAAACAGTAGTGAAGTTAGGTTAGGCATACCTGGCTCCTGAGTTTTGGGGCTGGCTCCTAGATATGAAAATATTTGTTGAGGCCTGAGGTACAGTAAAGATTGTGTAATTGTTTCATCTTCAAAGCATTGTAAACTTTAAGTTGCACAAGAAAAGAAGTGTGTGTGTATTTTGTTCATGTAAAATTCATAACTTACACATAATTGAAATAGGGTCAAAAATTTAAGAACCACCATTACCATGCTCTTCAGTGGTTTAGGCACTATTTGTATCATCAGTTTTCATGAACAATGACTGTTATGGTATAAACTAGATTAAGTAAGTGAAATGTAGTTATCAAATTTATATAAGTCATTTGCAAATTAGATTTTTAGGGTAAAGATTGATAAAGTGTGCGTATAGACACACAAACAGTATAATTGCTTGGTGATTAAAAGCAGAGGTATTACAAATTGGCTTTTATGTCATTGGAAGAATGTCACTACTAGGGTCTGTTTTGAGACCTTTATTACTCATGCAAGTCAAAGGAATAATTGCTTAGACAATCAGTATCAAAATTTACTGATGATACAAATGAAGAAAGACTTATCCTGGGAATTTTTTTATTATTCACAATTACCTTAATAGTCTTTGAAACATGTAAAATGAGTTTTAATATTAGAGAAGTATAATATGGTAATCTTGGGCTATAGAAAGTGGGTAAACATGTACTTCTGTGAGAAAAATTCTGGGAAGGAAGTAAACAGTTTGGTTTAGTTATTTAAAAATTCATGAAACCCCTGACTAAACATTCAACTGTGATAACAAGAACTTAGAGGGTTTTGAAATACATACTGTTTGCAGTTTATATATATATCCTATTATTATTATGAGAATAATAGAGATGTGCTGGGTAGATTGTAAACATGGGATAAGAAAATACCTGATTTAAACATTTTGAACTACAAAACAAAAGGCGTACAAACTTAGACCTGTTTTATTGCGAGTGTTAAAATTGTAGAGATGACCTGATTCAAGTGTTTAAAATTATTTGGATAAAACAGCAGATATATTGGAGACAATACAGTAAGCTTTTAAAGCCCAAATCCTAGCTCATTCCTTTAATATTTTTAAACCATTTTTTAATTTGAAGCTTTCTTTAGCATGTTTAAAAGGTTATATTTACAGAAAATAGCCATTTGAAAGATCCATGTTATTAAAATTAATAGATTATATTGAACTTTTTCATAATTTTTTAACTGCATGAATGTATTTGCATATTCAAGACGTGTTAAAGATAAACCCATATTTAATATTTCAATTAATTATCATTAATGGCTGAATTAGAAGTATTGCAATTTTATGACATTACATATAATTATATGTTTAGCCTTTAAGGTTGTCATATCTATTTTAAGAAGTATGTGTTTTGGCATTTTGTGTATGTGCATAAGTACTAAAAATCTTAAAGAGCCTGTATTATAAAAGATCAACATACCATTTTTACTTAATTATATTTATTGGGTTTGTAAATAATGGTTAAAGGTTGTGTCATATGAAGTTGCCTTTTGTTTTGTTTTTCGAAATTTTACTTGTAGTTCTGAGTTAGGTAATTTTAATTTTATTTTGTTTGTATATCATATATATTTTTTAATATAGGTGATTAATAAAGGAGTGTGTTCCTACAAGGATCCAAAAGGAGTTGTTCAGTTAAAAACCAACACTATGAAAATCAATAAGACAACAAACATGCTAAAATTGATAGTGAAGGTAATCAAAGAGCTTGGAGAAGTAGGAGGATCAACACTACGCTCGATTGAAAAGTTCATGACACAGAATTACAATCTCATTGTGTCTCCTGGTTTTGACTTAACACAACAGCTTAGGGTAGCTGCTCGTAAAGGAGTAGCAAATGGTACTCTTTTCCAAGAAGGAAGGTTGTATAAGATGGCGGATGAACACTGTCCTCTTGACGTTGACTCTCTGCATAATGTTTGTACATCATCCAATAGCAACAGTGGTAGTTTGTTTCAAGATAATAACCAGCAAAAGGTAAAATATTTTCTTTATGCTCTATATTGAAAATTTATATATCTATTTCTGTATAAAATTTGTTTTTTGTAATAGGGACAGAGTTTGTGCATTCAGCTCAAAAACTTTTAAACATATAAAGACTATTAAAAATTTATATGCTGTAGTGTTTGAAACAAGTAGTCCGCATTACGTAAACCACAATCAGTTCTGGAAAATGTTGGTCTTAAGTTTTTGTTACCAAACTTCCTTGTGAAAATGTGGATTGAAATATTTTGATAAAATTTATAATTGAAATGCTTGTTAAAATTAAGCTAAGTGCAAAGTACATGGTGTGTGATTGAATATCTCAACCTGAAAACATAATTTTGTAAAATAAAGTACGAAGTAAATCGTATACAAAATACTACACACAACATTTATCTGATGTGAAATGTAGTCTAAATAAATAAGTAGTACTTTAGATGTTTTTTTAAATTCATCTATATTATTAGATTATTAAAAACTTTGCTGCATTTGAAAAATAATTTTTTTCTAGGTCATTTAAGTTTCTAAAGACTGTGGTATGATATCTTAGTCTTTATTACTTGTGCTTTTGTTCATACATTCCAATAAATACATAATAAATAATTAGTCTGTTATACAATGTGCTGGTTAAAACTAACTTCTTAAATCACTTGCATGGTAGGGCAAGTAGGTAATGGATTTTTATATGCTCTACATGAAATTATACTGGCCCTACAAACTGCAACCTGTAAAAAGTCTTCAGCAAGGGCAAAGAATATGGTAAGGCAGTGTATATGTATATTTTTTTGGTGTTGACAACAAATATTGCATGGATATAACAAGTGGGCATTAGTTAATACTGAAAGTGAAACTTCTAGAGAAACTTAAAAAAAAAACTTATATTGATATTTGATAGACTAATTTAATAAATTTGTCCCTTGTCATGTTTGATATCTAGCTACAAGAAAATCCATTAAGTAAATTTCACTTGCCCACATGAAAAATATATTGTCCGTGGCCAGTTTATTAGTTAATTCATGTAAAGAAACCTTAACCGTAATTTTTGTAACTTTTTTTTGTTGTTGTCAGAAAACAACCAACTTATTTTACATTTTTTGGTGCAACAAATTTAAAAGTGATTTTACTACTTTGTGTATATGCCCATCAAAGGTTGAATGTAACTGAGCGCTGGTAGCTCAAGACCCCTCATGTAGACTGAGGCCTCCAAAACATATGGTTAAGAATGCTTGGAGGCTGCTTGAATGGGTAATGAAGAAAACTTTAATATAAGTTTTTCTTCATTACCCATTCAAGCCGTCTCTAAGCATTATTAGTCTCAAAGTGGGTTCCTTGTCATCAAATATGGTTAAGAAGCATGGATGAGCTTTGAACATAATAGTGTTGTGTAGTTTGATATGTTTTCTAGTTTTGATAAAGTCAATAATTCTGCTAATATAATGAAAATATTTTTAATGATGAAGAGTAAATGTTTTTTTTTGCTATTTTCCTGTTGTAATGCATTACTTTAGGCATGGGTACAATACTTGCTAGTGTGGATGATCACATGTGTGGCTTTTCTCACAAAAAAGCATGACAGTGTAATATTCTGAGCTTAAACATCAAAAGCTGGTGCAATTTTGGCAAAGGATGAGGAAAGTAAAAAAACATCTGCAGTTAACTTGTTTTTATAAAAAAATTTAGGCTTGTTGTTTTTGCAATATGTTGACAATTTCTGACATTTAAACAATAATTCTATTTCAACAACTGTTTTACATAAAAGTATCTTAGAATTGAGATTTTGTAACATTTGGAAAGCATCATTCCCAAAGAAAAATGAAAAAATTGTATAAACTTGCATTTCTGCATGTGCTTATCCATTTCTTTAAAATTTTTCTGTCCATCCCAAATCATAAGTTTGTATTTGTTAAGAAGATATCATCCCTTTAGAATATTATTCTCATGGTTTTGTTTTTCACATCATTTTCCTTCTTTTTTTCTCAGATTTTATTAGTTCCCACCAGAACAACCACTAATTGTAGTATACTTTTGAAAATAACTACAAGCAAAGTTTAAATACCATTAAGTAGAGCAAATTATATACTATTTATAGCAATGTAGAGTGAATAATGTGGTGTGAGAAGTATGGTTTTGTGGGAAAATTTTAAGACTTACGTTTGGTAGAGAAAAACAGTGGAATTTAGTGGGAAGTTTAAAATACTTAAAAACAAACTACAGATCTATGAAATTTTTATATTCTTTTTAGACATTCTTTTCATTCCTGAAAATGTTTTCATGTTAAATATATGTTTTAAAACTACTGAAATTTACCTCTGTGACAAGACATCAAGTAAGTCTTATTAGGTTTAGAAAGTACTGTAGTGACAGCAAAATATTCAGGTGATTCAAATGTGACACAAATCCACATTTATTTGTTAAGTTTCATATTCAAACAAAGTCCCTAAATAAAAGACTGTCATTTATTAAAAGGAAAGTATATTTATTACATATAAATTGACTTTGATTAAGAATGTATTTAGCAAAAAATATTGTTATCTATCCTAACTTATGCCATTTTGAAAGATCAGGGTTTAGGTTACTGATGAATCTTTGCTAGTTTATGTGGTGTTTTTTATGATTTATGACCAGATATGATGACTGCTGCATTCAGGTAAATAAAGCATTAACAGAAATGTGTTAATGAAAACCAATGAAGTTAAAATTGACATATAATATGAAACTTTCTGATTAACAACAAAAGAAAATTCTAAGATGAAGTATTTTTATAAAGTGTCTCACATCAAAATTGATATTTCACAACAGAGAGAATGTTATAGTAAAACTAAATCAGATTATATGAATTTTTTAACACAAAGCTTTATACTGTTTAATAAGTTTGACCTAAGTTTCATGCAATTTCAAGATATATATCAGTGATGCCCCTCCCCTAGTCTCTAAAGGGTTAAATAGTAATATGTCATTTGATTGAATTACAGAAATCAAAATGTATTCATATTGTTACAGAATATACTTGAGGAAAGTTATGCAAATAACCTTTGCAAGAAAAGATTGCCGTTCCTTGAATTTTTGTATATAGGCTCGTAAAATTTGTTAAACTAATCATTGCTGATTACGTCATGTTCTCTTGTTGTTTTTTGAAACTTAAAATGTTTGAAATATTCCATTCTTTCAGTAATGTTTACATTTAGAGTTAAGTGAAGAATTTCATTTCAGATTGATACTTTATATTTATACTCAAAGAAAGAAAGCATTGCTAGTAACTACCAAAACCAGGATTTGTTTTTGTGAATATTTTTAAGCTCTCTTTCTATTTATAAAACACTTATAACAATACAGTGCACGTGTAGTTTGACAATGAATTCTCAAATCTATATGCTTTCAAGGTCTCTTGAAATTGTATAAAGATCATTAGCATTGTGAGGAGGGAATGAAAAGAAACTTGTGTATTTGTTACACAGTTGTATCATAAGTTATTTTCATACTTTTATTCTAATAATAGGGTATCATACACTATCCATATGTACAGATACAAATCTTTGTGCTGGAATGCATTCAGTACTAAAGCCATATATTTGTCATTAAAATGGAAACTTCTTATGTTGATTTTATATTTTACTTCTTTTTTTTTTGAGAATAACACAGGGCTCTCAGTTCATCCAGTTCAGTAAAAATTATGTGGTGAAAACTGAGAATGTTTTTGACTAATTAATTTAGGTTGAGCTGAACTTAAAAACAAAAAAAACTTCCAACCATATAAAAAAATCTTATTATTTATATTAGTATTTTGAAGTTTGATTTTGTTTATTGATTAATTTACTGTATAAATGTACAGCTTTCAAATGATAAATGATCACTCAGGAATAATATATTTGCAGAACAGTGTAGAAAACCGACTGAAATGAAAAAGAAATAAGATTAATTTACCACCTTGCATGCAAAATTTATGCAGTTTTCATGAGTGTTTGTCATGGTTGTTTTTTATGTGTGTGATGTATGTGTTGACTCATTTTTGCATATGCAGGCCCCCACCTCATCTAGTTTAAACACCCTTCAACTGTCATTCATTGCATGATAGTCAGGTAGCTGTTTAATTTGTGTAGCAATCTGAAGTAAGGATTACTAGGTCTGCTATGGTGCCAGTATGTTTGTCTTTGAGTATGTAGTTACTAACTGGCTGTGGTAAACCTGTGAGTCACTGGCTCCAGCCAGGCTTGAGAGGACTTTATCTCCAGAACAGTAGATTCAGTGTCACCATTATGAATGTGATAGAAAAACAAAGGAACTGTTATTATTTTCTTAAAGTGAACATTATTGAATATTTTCATGTCTCTCACAAAACATATGGGCTTGTTATTTACATGTATATGTGGGTATACAGATATATTTATAACTGGCTCAAAGATCAGGTGCCATGGTTAATTTTCTACATGAACAGGTACAGAAATATATAAATGTGTGTGATGTAATAACTGCCGTGTCATTTATACATACTTGGTATTTATAGACATTCATTAATGTATAGTACTAAGTATGCAGAGTTAATGAGCCATATACATCCAATAAACTGAATGGCAATACTATAACTTTTCATCTAAAAAAAAAGCTTTTGTTTTATGAAATCATTGTCTAACTTCATTTAGATATTTCAGTATGTTTCAGAATTTATACTTACACCCACACATTGTTTTATTTTTAATATCTATGTAGGTTTCTTTGTATTGTGACTTGTAAAGAAATTGAGAAAATTTCTGACAAAGATTATAACCAAACTGTAAAGTTTGTTGAGTGAACTGCAGTTTGTTATTTTGGTATTTAATCTTGTAATTACTATTAAGCTGCCATCCCATGTTTTGAGTGTGCAAGATCAGAGAATTATACTATTTTTGTAAGCAGAGTAATGTCAGTTATGCTCCAGTATTTTTTTGTTGTTGTTGGGTGTCATTTTCTTTCAAAATTAGCTTGTGCCTGATGCTAGAAATATAATTAGAAAAGGTTCTTGCATAGTGAATGAAAAACAAACACTCTTGAAATCGGTTCAGTACCTTGTTTTTTAGTTTATTATATCTGCATCTTCCCATCTAGTTTTCTACATAAAAAGAAGCATCAATGAACAGTATCAATTTTGTATTTCTGAAGAAATACTCAACTTGAAAATATGAATTAGGAATTAAAAGGCTTAGAAATTCTTTAAAGAGTATGAGTATGTATAAACTTGATTATTTGCAAATTGTGCTTGCTTGATCTTGAAAACAAGTTAGTTCACGAGGTATAATTAGAAAGATTTATTGCTCAGTAGTGTTATTGATCTTGAAGTGGTTTACTATTGGAGCATTGTGTTATTCTCTGGTGAACTATGTATTTTTCTTCTACTGGTTCCAAGTTCCTTTGATGATTATTGAAATTAATAACACTGAGTTTTATGTTGTATTGTTTTTTAACATAGTCCTGGCCAGGTACAGTTTACTAATTGTTTCTTTGAAAGTGATAAAATTTGTATTCTAGTTCTCTGAAAGTTTTATTTTAGATTTCTGTTGTTATAACTTAATAAATTGATTTTGTTTGACCCTAGTTGTAGCAGTGTTTTGTTTAGTCTGGTACAGTTAGTGTAAAACAGTCAGTTTACTTGTACCATTATATGGCCATAACCTAAATATGTCATTTGTAATAGGACAACAATGATACTACACTGTTATGTATCAAAGAACAGTAATATAAAATTAGTGATTTAGTGAGGTAACTAATTTTGCAATTGAAATTATTTTCAGTTCCAACCATCAAATGAAGCATATTTTGTTAGTTGAATAAATCAAGCTCCATTCAATAGAGAAAAAAAAAGAGAAATTCCTTAATTGTTCTGTAATGATTCAGTCTTAAACAGAGAATGTAAATATGTAAACCCTAAATCTTTCCTTTTAATTCTTAAAGGAAAGTTATAAAACATTTTTCCATGTTTTAATATAAATAAGAGCATACATTAATATATATATATATATATATATATAAACACACTGACATTTCTTATGGGTGGGGGAAACACAAATTGTTTCTGAATTTGACTGTGTTTGGATATACATGTATATGGTATATATTAAATCTTGTGTTTTTCTTATGCACCATTTTTGTAACAGAAAAATTAAAATACCAAGTTATACTTTCAATGATTTTTTTTCCATTTGTTTTCACTCTCATATAGAGAGTTATAGCCACTAAAATCATTCATATATCAAAAGTTTAAATGGAGTGTTAACTGTGTTATAATCACTTTGTCATATAATATGGACTAGTGAAAAAAAATTGTCACTGATCTCCCTAAAAATGCAATTAATAAAATGTAGACCATGTCAGCTTTGGATAAGGATGTTTGAGGTTGTGGCTACGTGTTGCAAAAACATGACCTGTATGACATGATGCTAGTAGGACATGTTATCTGTACATGTACATGCTTAGTAGTATAAACTGGAGCAGTAATGAGCTGAAAAGTAAGGTGTATGTTATATATCAGTGAAACTTAGCAGGCAGGAAGTAGCTCGAGTTTTATGACATGTACTATGTAAAGCCTCTTGTATATTGTAAAGTTTAAGAGGAAGCACTTAGAGTTCTCTGATGTGTTTTGAATGAAGTGTGCTGAGTAGTCATTTTTTTACAGCCACTAGTGCAGTAGTTTCACCTATAAGGTGTACATAAATGTATACAGCATTTATCTATAGGAATGGGAAATTTTTATTGGATTTCAGTCATCCAGGGTTAAAACATGATACATATTTAGGAATTTACCTCCAACTGAAATTTGTAGCGGATTACAATTGTATTTTAGATGCTTGTTTTGAAAGAATAAAAACAATGCTAATCTGATTTTTATGCAGTTATTTTTCTCTGATTTAAATGTTTGCTACACTTTCATAGGTATAGAGAATTAAAAAAAAAACTTGTATTAAACACTAGCTAAGCATTGCGAATGTTGTTCAGACAAACAGTATCAATTTCATTTAAAAGCTACATTCCTGTTCCTCATGTTATTAATTAATGTCTTATCAAATTAACTATAATGCTACTGTGTAGACTGTTACTTTATTTCAAGGTAATTTTGAAACATAAATTTATAAATTCAGTGAAGTTATAGTCCTATTTGAATGTTCTAACTCGGGGGGGGGTCTCCAAACTTTTTTAGACAAGGGCCGGGAGGTAGTTCTTTTTAGGCTTCGCAGGCTGGAGAGGTCGTGGTAAAATTAAATGGGGATGCATACATGATCAGACTGACTTTTGTTCAATTATGTTTTATTTTTTGTTTTTATAATATTAAAAAATTATATTATTACTTTAATAAACTGTTGGTGGGCTGGATAAACTGAAGTCTGGCCCGCAGGTCATAGTTTGGAGACCCCTGTTCTAAATAAATCACTAACAAAATTTGAAGACTAGTTATCTATCTGTACTTATTAAGTTAACATGACCCATTATTTCAACATATCCTATAAGATACACTTGGGTTATTATAATAATTATTTTTGGAGGTGTTTTTAAATAAGCTATTGGGTTAATGTAAATAAAGAGCATATGTAATTTTGTAAAGGGGAATATTAATTTTTTTGTTTGCTGCTGAATGTGGTTTGTAGAATTATCATTCTTTCGCTTCCCTGAAAAGGGGTCTGAGGCCAGCCTGGAGGGGTCACCTGTTTTAACCACTCGCACTACTATACAATAGTGTGTTGTCTGTCAGTCAGTCAGTAGACATTAAAATTACATCATAGTTGTATTCTGTGGTTGATCATACATATATTATTTCTGTGACATTTGGATAGATATTTGTTTTGTATCAACATCTACTAGTGTAGAATTACTTAATAGGAGTCATCTCTTCAAAATAGTTGTAAATATATTTGCTGACAATTGTTTCTTTTCATATTTTTGTAAGTACTAATATTTTATGGAAATCCATTCTTGAGTATTCATGTGTTGTTGTTTTTTTTACATTGCTAAAAGTGTGCTTTTGAACAAATGTTTTGTACAGCATTCTAGTTACATTAAAATAGTTCTAAATGTAACTGTAAGTCTGTTTGCTGAATTCAGAAAAAGTTGGATGTGTTTTAAATGATTGGCTGTTTAAAACACCTAGAAATTCTTTAAAGGGTACATATAGAACTTGATAATTTTTCCTATTTTTTGTGCCATTAATTATAATAATATATATATAATGATTGTTCATAGGAGATTGAACCTGTTAAAACATGTTGTTATTGTCGTGGAATGGGCAGTAAACACAAGGATGACAATGCATGGGGTCTCTTGTCTTGTTCAGACTGTGGGATCAGTGGTAAGGATATCATTTTATATTTTTTATGTCGCTAGATATTTTTATGGTTTAAATTTTAACAGCACCAGTTTACTTATTGTCAGTGTGTGTGATTGTGTACATATCTCATTCTCGATACAATATTTGTTTTGTGGAAATTCTTGGTTATAGTATATAAAGCATGCTACAGGCATTAAAAGTAACTTGGCCAGGCCAGTGCATCTGATATTAGGTTTCTGACTAGGTATGCTTAATTTATCTATGATTTACCTGTCTATAAGATGAAGGTAAGGTAGAAACATTTTGTCTTAGAATACTAATTTCAGACATATGTTCAGCTAATTAGCTGTTAAACATTTCTGTTGTCCAGAGGAGGTTTTTAGATCATTAAGGTCTTAAGGTGCAAACCATAAAATTTGAAAAATAAAACAACATATCATTAGCCCCTGTGTTTACTCTGTGAGTCTAAGTCTGTGCTTTGAAGTTGTTGAACTGCAGCATCACGGATGTTTTGTGTGTGTTGCTTAGAACCTCCTAGAGGATATGTGAATAACCTCGTATATTGCAGAAAGGAATACTCTGGTTTGTAAAGTAGAATCAAATAGTGAATTGTAATTTTTAAAAACTACAGTTTTTTGCAAATATGACACAATTCTGCTGTCTTATAATTCAGAGTTTCTCAATATTTTGCACCTCAAAATCCATGTAGTTATGTGGCACAGTAGTAAAGACCCTACTTGTAGCTGATAACTCTTAAGTTTATAGTAGTTGCAGTTGTCCCTGTCTGCGGCAACCCATAACTGTACATCTTGTGGTCCACTGCCTCAGAATCACTTATATAACTTACTGATGAATGAAAATTTCATAAGCAAAGCTCATTAAAGGCATTTACTTAGCATTAACCAAATGTATTGGAGAAGGAATGTGGACTATAATTCTGAATTTACTAAATGTATGTACATGAAATGTGCATACTTACAGGCAAATGTACAAGTCTGTTGTACAAAAAAAAACAACAGATGTTGTTACAAAGCACATTTATACTCAAGATGTGTATGAACTGCTAATGTTAGTCTGATTGAGAATCTGACAAGTTGGAGTGCATGGTGATTTTTAAGAATAAAAAAATACATTTGTCTATCATACGGTTTGCATATTGCATTTACATAAGCTCTAGAACCTCCGAAATGCGTATTTACAGTTTCTTCAGTATCCCTATATATTGTATCTGGTATTTACTCTTCTCCACTACAAAGTGTCATTAAATAAGCAATAACTGTAAAATCAAATATATAATAACATGTTGAATGGCACACTGTAAAGGGTAGTGACATGAACACTTTGAAACTCACAGAGTTAATTACAAAATTTGGCTGTTTAATTGTATGATATTGGTTAGCTTCTTTTTTTTAATAGAGCAAATACAATTACAGCACAATCATTTAGCAAAATCACCAAGTTTTATTATAAGTAATAAAGCAAAACAACTAGGAGTTTTATGAAAGGTAAATTTAATTTAACAGGCAAATGAATGCAACCAATAAGCAGTTTTTATAATTGCTTTATAATTATGCTCTACATATGACATTAGTATCAAGCTTATTATATTTTAAACAGTACATGATGTCCTGAGTTCAACATCAATTACACATTTATAGTATAGATATTCCTAAGATGTAATCTAATCTTAGAGCATCCAATCTTCTTGCTTTAAGGAAACAAACCAGAAAGTCAAACCCATGTGCTACACCTTCCCATCACATCCTTCTTTCAAAAATTGTCAGTAATTCTTTGATATTTGCTATTGGATTATTTATAAACAACAGAAAGAGAAGATTTCAATTTACTGATTTATGTATAAGGCTAGCACATCCTCAGGATAGATTTTGAATTATTTTAATTTACTTATAGCTTAATTAGAAAGCCAGTTAAATTATAATAGTTTCAGGTCACTGTATTTTGTGCATGTTAATATTTTGTGTTCTTAATTGCATGTTTAAAAGAAATCAAAATTACTTTATGTACTACTACCATTGTTACGAAAAGGTAATGTTAAATTTTGTTGGGAGCTGAGAGCAAAAAAAAAAAGAGGCTAGACATAAGTGCTAAATTTATGTTTCTCATGTATGTTTATTTATTGTTATAAAAGTAACTAAAATAGAAAAATTAAAAACTTTTTAGGCTATGTAAGAAAACAAATGAAAAAAGATTAAGTAAGTACATTTCTCAGCAACATATGTACAAGAGATCCTTGTGCAATACTTAATTCAATACTTTACCGTTACTTGACTTATGTGCTTGCCAGGTGATTTTTAGGTTTGTTACACAGGTTTAGTTAGTGAGTGATAGTTCATAAAACAATAAAACAATGCAGTTAAATAAAAACATGTAAACTATTATGAGCCTGAGCTGTTTAGGATAAATAATTGTAATTTTCTGTTACAATCTGCAGTCATTCCAGAAAGAAAAAAGGGTAATTTAGATAAATTACATACCTTTTTGTGGTGGTTACAAGGTTGTTCAAATATAAAGTTTTACTGAAAAAAAACTTGATATTCATTTAGGAAGTTCTAGAGGTTATAGAAATGAAATTTGAAAACTGTAAGATGGAAAAAAAAAGTTTTTTATTCTTAACATAAACATCATCTTGCATGCAGACTAGTCAGTCTGATTAAAGTAAATTTGGAGACAAATCTGTAGTAAAAATATTTTATTAAATATTCTGAATTATAGTAAACATTATATCTCTAATACTGATTAGGTCTAATGGATTGACAAAGTTTGAATTCTTAATTTCAAAAATAGATATTGAAATAAATTCTCATTCTTCACTTCTCAGTATCATATGACACTTGTTTGCTCTGAACTGCCCATTTTAGATTTTCTTTCTGCCCCTCTATGATCTTCTGAGTTGGGCACATATTACACACTTATAGTATGATATTTCTAAGCCGTAATGTAAACTTGCAGCCCCCAATCTTGATTTACCGAGATATATGCAAGAAAGTCAAATCCACCCACATGCCATGCCCCCTTGTTAAATCCTGTCTTTCATAAAATGTCATAAATTGACTCTGACATTTGTTATGGGATTTTTTATAACCAGTATAAAGAGAAGATTTTAACTTACTGATTTATGTATAAGTTACTTAATTATTTTTGAGCCTAGCTCATTCTGATGACAGGTTATGAATCATTTGGCTTCAGTTTCTTTGATTGCCATTGTGGTGTTCACATTGACCAGCTAATGGAATTTATTTAACCCAATTATAGCTTACATTGAAAATTAGTTATATTGTAACAGTTTTAGGATATTATTTATTCTGTGTGTGTCAACTTTTTGTGTTCTTAATTGTATATGTGAAAGAAATAATTAATTTTTGTACTACTACTACTATTGTTACAAAAAAGTAGTGTTAACTTTTGTCAGGGGCCTGAGAGCAAAACAACAGTAGTCCAGACATAATTACTAAACTTCCTATTTTTTAAGTGTATTTTTTATTTATTGTTATAATAGTAACTAAAAATTTGTGGTAAAAATTAGAAAATTATTAGATAAGAAAACTTAAATGGTGGAAAAAAAATTAAAGTACTCTTGATAGCACTTGCATATCGTGAGTTTGATTGTGTAATTGGACAAGAGTGCTGATAACTTGATCATTTGTTTACACAAAACTGTTCCGCTGTGATAACAGCTTTTTCAGTTCTTTAAGAGGGTCTAAAGTACAACTATAAAGCAATAAAATAAGTGAGCAGCATTTTTGAAAAACAGTAGCTTTGGCTGTAAGAATAAATAGTGTGTAATTTTTTGTTACAATGTGCAGTCATTAATAAAGGAAAGATGGATAATATAGATTCATTTCATATTTTTATTTTATTTATTTTGTTGATTTTACTATGTTTAGTGTTAGGGTATAAAAAATTAACAGAAAATATAAAGTTTTACTGAAAATCTTTATTTATTTAGGATGTTGTAGAATTTATGAAACTGAAATTAGAAAAGAGTAAAATGAAAAAGTACTTTTCATTCTTAATGTGAAAATGACTTTGCTCTTGGAGTGTTTCAGTAAAGGCTTCATAAATTCACAGACAAATTTTTAATAAAAATACATTATTTTATAAAAAATATATTATTATTATTATTTTTTTTTTTTTTGTATGTACAAGTGACTTGTAATGTTTACTAAAAGCTTGCCAAAATTCGTGAAGATATGCTTACTGAGAGTTACAGTATGCATAGTTTCATAGTTACAGGGTAGGTCAAATTGACTGAGCCCATATATGGAGAGTTAATTTATTTAATCACAATTTTGAGAAGTTGGTTATGTTCAGAACATTAATTGATTGAATTGTAATTTTTATTAATCAGTAACGGTAACAGTTGGAGACACACCTTTTTCATTAGTTGATTATTATTGTGGCATTAATTGATTTAATTGTAATTTAGATTACATTACATGACACTGATCGATGTAGTTGCTGCTCATAGGTAATCTATTTAATTGCCCAGCTCTAGGTATTAGTATTATAAACTTTAAATGCTGTGTGCTACTTAGTACTATATTGTAATCCATGAACAGTTTGGATATCAGAGTTAAAACCTTTCAGATTTTTAAAATGCATTTTTGTATATTCAAGCATTAACTAAAAATTTCATTTCAGGTCATCCTGCTTGCTTGAATTTTTCTTCAGAACTTACAACTCGTATCAGAAACAAGAAATGGCAGTGTGTTAAGTGTAAATTATGCCAACTCTGTGGTGAAAAGAATTCCCATGTGAGTAGAAATGTTTTCGCAAAAATCATTTACAGTTTTCATGTTTAATCTGTATGTGCATGTTTGTAAGACTGTTCCTTGAGCTCATGATATGTGATCCTTTCATATAATTAGAAAATTGGGGATGATTTTTTGCATGCTGTTTGTTTTAAAATGATATGTTAGAATAAAAGTAACAACTTTCAGTAATTCTGAAACTTTAATACAGGCTCAAAACTTTAGTGTTCTACAAAAAAATCATTTTTATGACTTCCGTGTTCATGCTCTTAGAAAGAAACATAGTTTCTAATATGTTTGTGACAGTGCTATGCATTGAAGTGTAACCTCTGTATTTTATAATATCCTAAAGTTGCATCAGGTCCTAATAATAATATGTTATTTGTAGAACGACCTTTTGTTGTGTGACACATGTAACCAAGCTTTCCACATGGGCTGCCTTGACCCTCCATTAAGGAAACGACCCAGAGGTTTGTGTGAATTTCAAATTTTATAAATTTTAATGTTTGGAAAGATTCAACATACCTGGTTTTAATTAATGGGATGATTTGCTGTGAATCTTAATTTTTAAAATCTTATATGTATTTGAACTTTGAGAATGTAACATGTATGTGAAGTTTTTATACTCTCTCTCTCTCTCTCTTCCTGTGTTTCTTACCAAACCTTCACATGAAAAGTTCTTAAGTAGTGTGTCAGTGCTTTGAAATATAGTTTAAGGAAGCATTCAGCATATACCAGATGAAGTCTGAATTGTTTTAAATATGATTCACTTATATTAACATATACTGAGGATCAAGTTTTGCTTCAATAATATAATTATTTTACAGATAACATCTCATTTCTTAATCTTTCATTGACTTTGTTAAATGTTCCAAAAATTCATCCTTCTGTTACAAACTCCATTTAATTTACTTTTGAACTGAGCAAAAAGTATCTTTTACCTTATTTGTAGATTTTTCAACTTGTGGTCTTTGTATAAATAAGAAAAAAGAAAACAACCATAGTTTTTAAATATTTTATGTCCTGCATTTTATTTATGGTACCAGGTTGAGTTCCAGTGGTCAAATGTAATAATGTATTTGAACAATAAAAATGCATCATTGAATATGTATGATTAAGTTAAGACTTTGTACATTACAAAATTTTAGATACCTACTCTATGCTCAGTTTTTGTTTTTGGAACATGTACTGTATATTTATTGAAATATGAAGAATTAGAGATTGACCACCAATTACAAACCAATAATATCTGCATAATTATAATTTTCATAATTCTTTATGAAAGACAAAAATTCTTATACAGTGCTAAATAAATGTGAGAATATAAGATTATATTAGTAGTTCTTCAAAATTGAAAGCTAATGTTTCGCTTGGTGCTAATCGTAGTTCTTGTTGACAAAACACATTTTAATGAAAGTAAAAAATTCCAGTGATTTTCCTCTTGTTTTTATTTTTGTCTGTTTAAAGCAGTACAATACTATAAAAGATAGATAAAAAAAGAGTATATGAAAAAATACTAAACTGACATGCGAAATTATCTTATAATAATTGAATATGGATCACAAGGAATTGCACAAAACCGTAATACAACATTTGGGTAAAACGCACCTTAAATAGAAAGATTCAGTTCAAACAACATTTTAAAACCTCTACTGTTGATTGCTAAGGCATGTACACGTATATAAAATTGCACAAAAAAGCTTGTACATTAAACATACAAGGAAAATAAAAATCTGCTCAAAATGGTCCATTTGTATTTCTTCTTGTCATTATTCTCTTGTCAGCCTACAACAAAAATGGCTTAGTATATTGCACCCAAACCTTTTGTAGAATATTAAATGAGGTACTGCGAAGGTCGTAGGGGTATTAAACAGTCGCGTTGCTTCTTCTGTATTTTACATAAGCTAAAAAAAACATCTTAATTCTAGTGTAAATGATGCTATCATCACCCCTTGAACCTTTAAAATAGGGCAAATTTACATGCTGAGGAAACACTGTTAAACACTTCTTATAACCTTCAAGTTGAGCACAAAACAAAAGTATGATGTTGCAATCTCTGAAAGGGCACAGTCATATATGTCACATGTATATTTAATATGGCAGGGATAAAGAAATACATAACATAAACTGTTTTAACACCATAACGTTACTTAGGAATGATAAAAACGTGAAAATTGATACACATACTCTTTGTGAACATCCTCGTATCTTAAATTAAAAACTCTGCAAATTTTCTGCAACATTAACAAACTATGGGCAATTAATTTTAATTAATGCCTTCGTTAGTGGTAATTAGACTCATAACAAGACAATTGGTAAAGATTTTTGAATTTTAAGAACTTCAAGATATTAAAGCCAATATCAGCATGAAGGGGCCTGTTTTCTTTACATTGCTTTGACATTTATAGCAATTACTTTTGGATATTTTATTTTTATATCAGTGTGTTTTAGTTCATACTAATGGTGTTTTCTTGGTTAATTTTTTTTTGGCAAGCTGGAACATCATGTCCTTAAACTTGTTTTGTGCCTCCCTTGCACTGTTATGATAGTTCCTCACTGGAATTGTTCTCTTTTGTGTTTGTCTTTATTTAAATGTTAGCTTAAATGCGAAACTAAATGTTGGTTTTAAATTACTGTGTACATTGTTTCATCATGTGGTAGTGAGGGTGGATGAGGAATGTTTTGCTTCTTTCTTTTTTTTCTATGTTGTCTTATTGATTAAAATTCACAGACACAATTTGTGCTAATGAAATACCTTATTGATAAATTCCAGGGGCAAGACCTATCCTGTCAGCATTTGGTTCAGATTCTGTTCAGAACCAGATGAGTGTGATCTACCACAATCATCCATGTTGCTCTCTTTTCTTGTTATGCACAAAAAGCTGACATTGCATAAAGTATCATGCTGTAGGCGTACAGTGTGGTGCTGAAGCTCGAAAGTCATGGCATTATCAGCTAGTTCTTCCACATTTTGTTAAATGTTGGATTTCATTCTACTGCTGTAGAAACATCACAAAAATATGACAGATGTATCAGAAACACTGGATCTGTGACAACACCTGAAATTTTGACAACTTTAGTGAACAAGCCTAGAAATAAGGGCAAACCAGCCACTTTTGCAAAAAATGTTTCACTTTGTTATATTTAAAATTGATTTCCCTAGAGCAAAAGTATGTTGCCTCAGGGTTAAGAGGAATTGCCTCTCACCAAGCAAGCTCAAGAGATGGCCAGGAGCAATAGACTATTCAAGACAATTTCATGTGAATTTCATTCCCTGTTGTATGGATATACTTTTTATTCTTTTGTGTTTTTTTTTACTAAATATATCAATACAGTAATAATTCTTTGTTAATAGTTTGACGTGTTTTCATGGTCTGATGTGGATGACAATCTTAGTTTCTGGAGACTACTTGTCAACTCATTTGCTTTGTTTTTCAGATATAAACATTCAACTTGTCTCTGAATAGGACTAACCTTTAAGCTCTTTGGAATTATCTGTATTCCACTAGTGTGTTCTGTGAATGTTGGTTAGTATATTGTTTGAATGATTATCTAGACACCTTGTTATACATCGGAAATGTTTGTTGATCCTGTTTATTTCTTGCAGTATCCAGCCATACTGGTTTTCACAAAGCCTAGGTAGTTCTTTTAAATTCTCTCATCCCCTGTTTTTTTGACAGCTTGTTTTTCCTGGTAATTAATAGACATTTTCTAGTATCTTGTTTGACTTGTTATGGAAGCTATCATCCACCTGGGTTTGTGTACATCTCTAATTTTACTTGCACACCTTATAATCAATTTATTCAGCCTTTTTCTTTTTTCCTGTTGGGTAGGCAAGAATTCTTCCCGACTGCACTCCCATCTTGACAGATCCTCTCTTCAGAATCTGTGTCATCCCTTTTATCCACATGTATCCATCTTTTATTGGGGGTGTTAATAAAAGATGAGTTTTGTGGCTCACTTCCAGCTCAAGAAAATTGGAGCTTTGACCAACCTACTCTTCACGCTATGAATACATTTCTGAATAATCATATATCTTGTCACAAGTAGCATTTTGAAAATAGTTTCAACTTCTTAATTGTCTTACTATGGGTTCAGTCCCAGGGACCGACATTATAACCATAGTTTTCAAACTATAACTTAATACAGGAAGCATATATTCACAAAATTTTGCAGATTATAAGTAAATATTATAAGGCTTTAGTATACAAAATATCATATTTTTTTGTTAAGTTTTAATATTTTTTAAGTAATGATTTGCTTATGCATATTTTTCTTTTTAATTGTCGACTATCCAACATGCAAAGTTATTTGGATCTTAAGATTAAAAATACTTTATGCATCAGAAAATGGTCAAATTTCAAATGCAAAATCTTTATAACCTCCAGTTAATTATCAAACATTTTTGTTTTTAGAAAAAACTTTATATTTTATCGGTTATTTTCACTGTTGTATCTCTCTATGGGGTTTGGTTGATTTGACCAACCTCGTAACCACCAAAAAAATTATGAAATAGATATAAATTATGCTTTTTCCATTCTAGAGTGACTACAAATTATAACAAGAAACTAAAACTGTTTAGTCTAAATAGCTAAATATATATATATATTTTCATTCATCTTTCAGCTGTGTCTAACTAAAATTACAAAATTTGCTATGACGCAGTGCATGTGCAGTCATATTACCTTATCCAGCTGTCTTCGGTTTGTTCTAGTGAACCAGTATTTTGTAAAATACAGTTACATTTCAGTTATAATAAGTTACATATGCATATATATTATTAATATTTACAAATAAATTCTTAAATTTCAGTTATTTTCATAAAACATAGAACAGTAAATAAAGAAACATAGAAAACAATGATTATTTCTACTTACAAACTTTGTATTTGTTTGTCTGCTTGTCATAATTTGCTAAGCCTGGTAAAATTCACACTTTATGATAAGTTTTTCCTGGTTTTGTTTAGGTTTTTGGAGGTGTGAGAATTGTACAGAAAATCTCCCTTCAACTAAGTTTAAGGAAAAGAGGCTGAACAGTAAATTGGCAACAAACCATCGAAAACATAGCTGTGGCAGAATGAAGATAAGAAATGCCACTAATAGGTACTGTGTTTATTTTGTAAACAAAAAAAATGAGAAAGCGTATTTAAGAAAGCTGACAGTTTATTCAAAAATAAGTAAAACTATACTTTTTTTATACCAAAAAGAAACTGGTTAGCACAATATTAGGTAAAGCATGAAGCGTTATAAACTGGAAAAAAGTAATAACTTGGTAGAAGTAGACAAGTAATAATTTTAAGGTTTTAATTAGGTTTTATGTTTTAGCTGATATAATTTTAATTTCCAGCAAGAAGAATGCCTTAACCTAAAAAATTGTACTTAGAATGCTATTTGTATAATTCTAATGTTAACATTGCAATCTATTAATCTTTTAGGCATGAGATTTTGGTATAAATAAATTTGTCCTTTGAAAAACAGAGTGGGAGTTTTCTAGGATAAAGTATGAAGTAAGTCTGATAATCATACAGCTTTTTAATAACTACTTTTTTTAAAAATTTCATTTCTGGAAGTTTGTTTATTATCCTTATAGTAACAAATTCAATTTAGAAAGTAGCTAAGTATGTGTATATATAGTAACTGAATTTAATTCAGAAAATTGTTAGTCATTTATAATTTTATTGAACTTAACTCTTTATTTTTTCATTTAGTTATCTATGGAATTTATAAATGATAATTATTATTCCAGGTCTTACATTTCCTCAAGCTGTGATGAAGATTATGACATTCATGACAAAAGGTAAATTTATATCAGAAATACGTTTGCTTAGAAATTGGACATATATCGGCCATATAAAATTATAAAAGTGAAAAATAGCATCAGAGTTTCAGTGAATCAATACTAAATGGGTTTTGCTCTACATTGGCATTTATTTAAGCAAGTTTTCTAACACTGTGCTCTAGTGTAGTCATATTAACTTGCTACTGTAAAATTTATACATTAGCTGAAAGCTTGTATTAACCCTTTCGAGATGGGTTATGGGTGAAAGGCCATGTCATCTCGTTTATTAACTCGCATTCAAAATTTTATTGAACTACTATTTCATTCATTTATGTCAATAAGTTTGGTATGAAACTATAGATTATAATTCAAATGTTAGTACTATACATTACTCAATTTCTTAATTTAAAAGTAAATATTAAAG